ATGCTATCTAATACAAATTAATAAAACATATCAAATATTTAAAACATAATTAAAAATAATTAACAATACTGAAAAGTTAAGAATATATACTTTTACAAAATAATATAAAATGAGCAAACAATTTATACGAAATAAAAGCACAGTGAGGTGGTGGCCAATTAAAGTTCTCGTTGATTACGGCCACTTTAAGATCCTCTCGTTGGGAGTCATAAAATATCATTAAAAAATATTAACTTTAATTAATACCTCGACATCGTGTTTAAAACAAATAATCTTAGAAACATGTTAGTAAACCCTATACTATATGTGCATACATAAATCACAAAATCCTTTATATTATTTTATACATTAATTATCAATTTTTGTTATAACAAAATAATTAAAAATTAGCATATTTATATGTTGCACAAAATAATATTTCCATAATTAAAACTAAAGACATAATAATGCCTCCATATATCAAGATATTGAAAATACTTTTTAAATTCTTGTACGATAAAGCAGAATACACATAAATATTATCTTGGTGAACCTGGGCCATATTACTTTTTAAATATAAATTTCTCATCCAGTATTCCATAAGGTTTGCCTCGCGTATCCGGGATAAGCTGATATATAATAAAATGTTTAATTTACAGTAGTTAATTAAATACCACAGCATACATTTTGTTAAAATTATTCAAATAGGGTGAATTTTTAACTAATCCCATTGCGTCAAGGCCCCATGCTAATTTTGCACCATTCACATTATTTGCTACGTAATGTCTAATTATTTTGTGCTCAAATATGTTATAAATAAGGTAGTCGCTTGAACCAATTACAGAGTATTTATAATCAGTACGTTTTAAATAATAAAATAATGATTTCTCGTCAACACCATGGTAATTTATAAATCTATATCCATACCGTTCGTTAATTTTATCCTGTGTGATTGTAAAACATATATCATTAGTGGAGCATTGTCTCAAGTTCAATTCACCTACTAGTAATTTATTTTATAAAAATTACTTTTAATAATTCTAGTACTGTAATACTTTTTAAAAATAACTGTTAAAAATGATTGAATTAAAAATACCTAGGATTACAATCTAATATAAACAGAATACAAATACGTTAGAAATAATGGCAGTTTGGTACAGTATTTGGTAAATTGTTGAAATCAAAATAAAATTTTATTTAACTTACTATCATGTATTGGTAAATGGACCCATTTTCAACAACTATTTTAATATTACCATTCATTTCATGTGAAATCAATTGGTCTAATGTCTCGATTATGTGTTTAATGGGAACACGAATTAATGCATAAATAGATCCTGAATAGCATGCGCCTAATATAACCGACATTATGATCCAGGTACACATTAATAATTTATTTATTTGAGTTACACGTTCGGTGCCATTTTGTCGCAACAATATAGATAATATATACCAGCATAAATTAAATGTTCTAGTCGTCTTATTATTTGTAATACAAATTATTAGTCCTAATATTAATAATGTGATTATAATGAATATCCAAATGTATGTATCGAAAGGTTGTAATAAATTATCGAAATGTGTTATCGTAGGCATAGGAGAAGTGAATGTAATATATTCACTATAACATGGATAGGTGTAATCAATGACATTTTGCCTGTCATTTGTCATAAATAAACAAGATGCGATATCAGCACTCTAAAAGACATGCAAAGTTAAAATAAATAAATATTAAAATTAACATTAATACCAGTAATTATAATAATTACAATGGAATAGTTAATATTTCAAATAGTAAAAATTGTTAACAAATAATTCAAATAAAACTAGTTATCCTAAATAATTTATAAAATTCATTTTATACTTAATATCTTTTAAGCTACCTAATATATTATATATATCAATTCATTTGAAACACAAGCAGTTTAATATATTTTATAAGAAATATAATTTGCCAAAAATGTAACTAGGTCATACCTTTGACTGAAGCATACCGATCATCCCATTCCACGTATTATTGATAGAACTTACGCCCCAAACACCGTTATTATTGATGACATCGTATGTTATATTGTAATACTCGGCAATTGTCATGAAAAACAAGCCGTCTATATCACCAATCAATTCATAACCTTTTATTGAATTATTGTAATTCAAGATAATATACGGAGGGGACTAATAAAATAAATTTATATTGTCTATAAGTATATTCAATTAAGAGATATACAAAGTATGTCATATTAAATAATTATATAACATATATTTTTATTGTTATCTTATTTACATGATTGACGGCTAATTTTAAATGTATCCCGTTTAATCCAGACATTTCATCAATGTAAAACCTTATAGGAATGTACAATTTTTAAAAATTATTACATATATACTTTAGATTATTTTAGATTATATTAACATAATAAGTGAATAAAATAAATCAAACTGACCTGTGTAATTTAATTAGCCAATAAATTATATATTGTTTTAATGAACAATAATTTATAAATAATTATGATAAACACTTTTTAAATAATTACTTTTTACTTGTTAATAAAATAAAGACATATATGAATACATATAATTAAAATGAGAATTTTATTTTATGTCACATTTTAAATTATTTTCACCATTGTAATCAGACTTCGAGATATGGGGTCATTTTTAGAGAAACGGAAATTCATAAAAAATTGCTTAGTGGCAAAGGGGCAAATGTCAATTTAAATTAGAGTAATATGATTAAAATGTTCAATGATATGCAATTCAAAAATATTTACTGTAAAAGTAATATAAAAAGACGACAAACATAGAAATATGAGTTTGAATAAAACCCAAGGTTATATAATGTCTTTGCAATAATTGCATGAATTAATATGCTCATATAGATATGTTTATTATACTACTTTGGCCAAATCTACCTACTGAAGGGAATATTTGAATAATTTATTAATGGATAATCCAATTTTTAATCTGTTTTCACCAAATTATAGCTGGATAATTACGTAATTAAATGGTATAGTAT